AAAACATCTTTGTTACAATTATGTCATGAATAACCATATCTATTTTACATGCATGCACATCATGCTATAAGAAAAAACTAACTTGCAAGTTTCTTGTGCTAATTCAGTATTATCATCATCATCGCTATTATTATTTCATCATCACTTCATGAGATCTCATAAAGACCCCAGTCATCTCCAACTTCTCTATTTACATCAGGGTGAGTGCAAAGAATACCATCCTGTTAAGAGATGAAAAGGCCTGATTCACTAGTCGGGAGACTCAGACTGTTGTTAGCAGCAGCTCATGTGTAAATAAAGCACATGACAAGATGAACAAAACAGGCAGATAATGACAACATATCTAGTAAGTAAGTCAAAGTATTAAAGAGACTTTAAATTTGTTTACAGTAAGGGAATCTGAGATATGTGTGTGTGTATATATAGTGTAATGTAAATGGGTAAGCCGTATTAGTCCAGTAGAGAAGATGTTAAAAAAAACAAAACGCAGTATTGTAGTATGCGATGATACCTTTCTTATTGGACTGAAAAAATATATAAAAGACGAGCTTTCGAGAGTTAACCTCTCTTCTACAGGTCAGATGCAATACACCTGCTTCTGACCTGAAGAAGAGAGGTTAACTCTCGAAAGCTTGTCTTTTATATATTTTGTTAGTCCAATAAGAAAGGTATCATCGCATACTACATAGAAGGGACACAAAGGCAGAAAAAAACAAAACAAAAAATATAATACTAATAATAATGTTTATAGTAATACCAATTATATTTTTGCCCTGTATCCCCACACACTCACAGTTTTGTAACTGCTAATACATGCTAGGAAATTACATGCACAATATGTTTCATACACAAAAATACCACATTTTAAGATTTAATAACAAACACAATAAAAAGAGAAAAAAATAAAATAATGGATTATAATTTCACGTTTAGTTTAATCATTTGTATTGAGATTGTAGCCTATCACTGGAGTGATTCACAAATAAGATATATTATTGTTAATAGTTAAGGTACTTGAATGCATTTTTAAGATATAACTCCTGAGTTTAGTGTCACTTTAACATAATTCCTCACTTCCGGAGGCTGCCTCCACGCTATGTGACCAGGTACCATACTCTATAGGGTGTAGGGTACCATACCCTAAGGTGTTTCGGCAGTTGCAGGTAATCTGATATAGTCAAGTGCAAAACAGGGCTAATAGTCTGGCATTGTACGTGAGGAAGCCAAGGGACCGCACACAACCTAAAGTGTCAGGGAGAAGAGGATAGCCCCAAATGCCATGGGGACAAGGGATAGAGTAAGTGAAAGTCCTTTTTCCTGGTATCCTAGGCATAAACAAGCATTTTTTCTCTTTCAGTACAGGGGAAGCCCCACTAAAAGGAATCATTTTTCTTTTCCCCGGAGTTCAGCTTTAATACTTCTATCCATTCCATTTATTGTCTCAAGACCTTTGCTCTCTACTGTTTAAAGAAATGTTTACCAGATATTTATAAATTAGAGCACTATACAGAGAGGAAATTAGGCCCTATATACAATCAGCTGGCAATATCTCCCCTATTAGGTTTCGTACAATGCATCATGGAAGTTATTTTCTCCTGGGCACTAATTGCATGGCACAATTGTAAAAATGAAAGAAAAAAAACAAAACATTGCTTAGGTATTGAGAAGTCTTCTTGCAGTCGTTTGATTTGAAAGAATCATTGTAATACAATTGTAAAAAAATAAATAAAAAAAAAAAAAAAAAATCACAAAATACTCCTCAGTTCCCAGAGGTTAAATCTTTGCTTTTACTTTATATAAAACATTATCACACATAGGTGTACAATAACTAAATCCCTCTATCCCTAAAATATTGTTAAACTTTCTCCATGCTTTAATTATTTAATGAAGGACTGGAACCCTCCTATCCTATCTCCAGGGCCTCTAAAAAGGATTTACAAATTGTAAACAAGAACGTAATCACGGATACAATGGGCGAGTTCTTTTACCCCACCCCACAAAATGTACACAGCACAGATTTATTAGGCATAAAGCCAGCTTGATAATGTTATGTAATACTGTAACCAACCTGTTTGCTAACATCTTAGCTGTCAATTTTAACGGGCAATATGAATCCCGCTACAACGCATCCTTCCCTGGTTTAAGGGCCTGTTCACACCAGCAGGCGTGCTCAACTGCCCTTCGCCCCAGGTGTCTTTATTCAACCTTAAGAAATGACTTTTGTTGTCCATGTCTTCAAGCTTCTTATAGGCAGACAAATGCAGTTGGTTGAACTTGCACGGAAAATATTTGCACCAGATTTATGATGCTAGTGTAATGTTGTCCATAAAAGAGGTTTAGCAGACTCCAGGAAAGAAGACTTGTAATGCATCTTGAAGAAGTGGTCATGGGGACTTCTTAAGTTATGATTGTTTACTTAGGTGATGCTCCAGTTTCATACAGCCCCAGACCAAGTGCAGATGAAAACAGATGCAAAAAAGGTGCAGATGAAAAAAGTAGTGCAAGCTCTGGTCAAAACATGTGCAGTTGGAAAAGTAGTGCAAGCTCTGATAAAAACAGGGGCACGTGTTAAGAGACAGATTTGCACATAAAAAAAATTATCTAAGAGCCGAAAACTGTCGCAATTGCTTTGATAAATTCCCCCCACTGTGTGTTGCACTCCTTAGGCTGAACTAAACACTACTCCACTTCAAAAGTGATCTGACAGATTTGAGGTTTACTTGTGTAAATTGGGTAAGGCATGGGCAAGGAATTGTATAATATCAGCAACGTATATTTGTGTTAATAGTTAATGTACTTGAGTGCATTGTTAAGATTAAACTCCTGAGTTTAGCGTCTTTTTAAGAAGACTTCAGCCTAGAGGAGGTAAACATTGGAGGAGACTGCAATTGTCATACTGAGGAAACCAGATAGGTGGCAGTGGGGGATTTAGGTTAGTTTAGGTAAAGAGGCTAAGTAGGGTGCACTGAAGAATAGTTTACTTCCTTGCTGCACTTAGCCGAAGCAGAATGAGAAAGATTGCAGCACTGTTATGTGTGCCCCTTAACATCAGGGTCCTCTGCCCCACATTCTCATCAGGAGCCCAGATCAGACCAGACTCCCGTACTTTCACATCAGAGTTCCCCCTTCACACATCAGAAGCCCCCCTTCAGATCTGGAGCCAGCTTCACATCAAGAGTCCCACCCTTCAAACTCCATCACACCGCAGCTGCAGCAGTATGACAGAGGGCAGGAGGCAGAGCAGGTCTGGACTGAGGCAGACTTCTGTCCACTTTTTAATGCTGGGGGTGGTCTTAGATGCATCCTGCCCTGGATTAGCATCATGTGTTTCCATAGTGCTGCCACCCATCCTGCCTTCACCATGGAAACGCATCATCCTGTGCAAACATTTGACGGCACCCCTGATGAAGCCAGGCAGCACCCTGATTGAGAAAGACTGTTCCAAGCACCCTCACATACCAGAGAATACACTGCTATCTTTTAGAAGAAAAAGTGAAGGCAAAAAGTAAAAATGTCAGAGTACATTAAAGTGATATTTAAAGTGACATTAAAGTATAAAAATGTTTTCCCTCACCACAACGTTAATTAAAGCACTTACCTTAAATGATATCCCTTAATCCGATCTTCTTCTTTCCTGTAGTTTTCATCCTTCTCTCCCACGCTGCTGCGGGTCTCCGATCCAGCGCTGACCCCTCTGAGCTTCCTGTCCCACAGTGTCTGTGCGGGTGCACGCGTCCATATCACTTACCTTGTGTATCTCCAGGCCGAAAATGTGAGCTGCGCATGCGTCCGCCCCAAGATCCTTTGCGGCCGCCCGGGATTGTTCAAATTTTCGGACGGGAGCGCATTGCGAAGACACAGCTAAGTTTAAACCTCTTTTAAATGCGTTTTAAAAAAAGAAAAGTTTTTGCATACATCTACTGCTTGCTAGCAGTAGATCTATGGAAAAAAATGGAGGGTTTCAAAACCCCTGAAGTCAAAAGGTTTTTAAGCTATTTCAAATGTTGATGAAATCACTTACAATGGATTCCACTCCTTGATGTTTAAAGGTTTTTGTTTCCTGCAGAATCAGCTGGGCCACTGAGCACTAGCACTTATATCCTGTCTTATGGTGGCTCCTTTCCCTTGCATGGTCCTATGGAGCCACCTTTGTGTGTGCTAGTACGCTGTGTGTGTCTACAAACACAACGCAAGACACTCCCCAGCTTCTAGCTCTTCGTTCGTCCCTCCTCCAAACTAGTAGATGGACAGCTGCTGGAGACTGCTCTGTCCCTTGTGATCTTGTACTGGACCGGGAGTTCCAATGTTTTTGCTGTCTGTGTTCCATTGAGAGATTTCCCTTCACTTCCTGTCCAGTAGATCCCACAGGAAGTGAGAAGAGATCTCTCCAAAGTGAGTTAGACGGCTGCAACCAGAACAGATGTCTTTGTGGGAATATTTCTTTATTTTTCTGTTCCAGTGAGAAGACAAAAGCGGTCACCAAGATAAATAGAGGGTTACTTTAGCCAGCAGGGACATAGACAGCAATAAATAACCTGACAGATGTTTTCATTCTTCCCCACTGTATACAAAACCAAACAAAAAAAGGCTGGTCTCTAGAAACACTTAAAATTTCAACATAACTTGATCATGATTTTTAGAAGCCTAACATAAATGTCTATGCACCCACCTACAGGTGATACCTCAGAAGATCCAAAAACAGAAAAAATGCATCAATCACTCCCCCTAGTATAGGTGCCCCAGCGCTTACTATCTTGCAGTTGTAGAATAAGCTAATACAATGTGGTGCGCTTCAAGCCTCACTGCGGCTCGGACACGCCCAGGAAAACCTTAACCACCTAGCTTTTTGCTGATTGGCTTTCACACCTCGCTCCCAGTCTTTAATTGGATCTAACGTATTGCCCCGCCTATCGAGCAGGCGTCCCCACTCACAGCCAAGTCCACAACGCAGGCACCGCCCAGCTCGGTGTTCATTGGCAGATTGTGACCCTAGCGGAATGCCCCGGTGAGAGGGCGGAAAGGGTGACGTCAGTAGAGGCGTGTGCTTTGCGTCACGGATTCGCTCCCGCCCTCATCTCCCGTGGGACCGGCTGGTGAGGTGAGGAGGATGCAGCGTCCAGTTCGGCCGTCCTAGCGCCTTTCCACTTCCTTTCTGTCCTGTCCCTGGTGCCGGCCTCCCCATGACTCCGCTGTGAGTGGCCCTGCAGCATAGGGGGAGGCCTCCGCAGGGAAGGAGGAGAGTGGGGCCGCTCGGAGTACCCAGTGTCTCCTGGCTCTGGTACCATGGGGAATACAGTCACCTGTTGTGTGTCTCCGGACGCCAGTCCCAAGCCTGGCCGCGCTCGTGGAGTGATAGAGCGGCCTGACCCGTACCAGGTGGAAGTGGAGCTCGGGGAGACTGAGCCCGGGCCTCATCTGCAACACATCAGCGACCGCGAATTCCCGGATGGTGAGCACCGTTTCCTGCACCCCATGGTCCTCTACACATCACACACTTCCTGCACCCAAGTCTTGTATGGCTCTGCATCCTCTTCCCACAGCTAGTAGTGGGTATGAGCTGTCTAGACCTGTGGTGGTCAACTTACTTATGGCTTTATCTGTGGCCCCTGACCACCTAAGGGCCACACAATATTTAGTTATTGTAATGGCTCAAGTTCTCAGCCACATGTGGCTGTTCAATGTACATTCTGGGGTAGATCCCCTGCCAGAGAGCCATGGACTGCATACAGCCTCCCACAGAAGGAAATGGCTGTATGAGGGTATATGCCAAACTTGTGTACACATGGGTTTACCCAGGCTGTGCTCGAGGTTGTGTACTGGCATGTATGCATGTTTACCCAAGTTCGGTGTGTTCCTGTGTACAGCCATTGACTTTCTTCGGTTCTACAGTGAACCTGTGGCTTCCTGGCGGGCAGTATACACCAGAATGTATGCTGTATGGTTACAAGCAGCCGTATGCATGAGCCCTAATGTTACAGAAAACTGTCAGATGGACAACATGTAACGGGAGATGGTCAGTGATTACAGACATGCTACAAGAGACAGACTGCAGGTATGCTACATGAGGTGGCCAGAGACTGCAGATGTACTAGGAGTTGGTGAAGACTGGGGATTTATTTTAGGACAGTCATAGACTGGAGTCACATTATGAGACTGCTAAAGATCACTGCTATTTCCTCCCCTTTACAATTCTGTGCTGCCACATTTGTGCCCCCTTAAAAAAAACGTGTGACACGCTTAATATCTCTGTGTTGTAAAATGTCAAAGGGGGGGGGGACATGCATCACAGAAAAAAGTTGAGATATGTTGAAAGTTATAAAATAAGACTCATCTCTTCAGGGAAGCCTATCCCACCTCAACCTAACCACTGAACCTTCACATTCTCACATAATTCATTCCCACAGCTACCTACTCATGTATCATTTCCCCCTCCTCTTTTAGATTGTAAGCCCTCAGGGGCAGGGCCCTGCTTACCATCTTGTCTTGAATTGTATTGTAACTGTAATGTCTTCCTTATATTGTAAAGCGCTGCGCAAACTGTTGGCGCTATATAAATACTATGTAATTAGAATAATAAGTTATTTACCTACTAGAAGCTAGTTTCAATAATATTTTATTGGCACGAGTAAGCATTGAAACACAAACTACTATCTTTGTTTACAAGATTTTTATTGACATTTGCACAAATATAACAAGTGATGAATAAAGTATCACAGATCGTGGCCAAGCAGAAATTGAGCCACCCAGGCAATAAACATGCATTGTAGTAGAACATCACAACCAAAGTGCATAGGGCATTATTCATTAGGGAAACGCAAACTACCATCTTCAAGATCTGCACAATAAGGGCTTGTTCACACCAAATGCAGACCTGATCAGCATGAGTTTCTCCGCATGCGGTGCAGTGTGTTTTGCTGCGTTTTTAAAGTGTTTTTGAGCATTCCTGGGCATTTTTGTTAAAAAAAGGGGGGGGGGGAAATGTTTTGCACAAAATGGGCTTTCAGTGCGCTCCAGGGCTTTTGCATATGTTTTTGATGTGTTTGCATGTGTTCCAGAGCAGGAAAAATAGGGCTTGCTGCATTTTTTTTTACATGCTCTGGAACCGAATGCTGCAGGGTGAACTAGAACCCAAGATACCATTGGAATACATTAGATGCAGTTTTGATCCATTCTTCTCCGTGGTTGGTGTGAACTAGCCCTAAGGCTCCATTCACATCTCTTCCGTGCTGCACACGATTGCATGTTACACTGTTCGGTGCGTTGCGGTGCCATTACTACTTAATGGCTCCCATACCTGCCAAGTCATCACATGTGCGTTGAATTGCAGCACAATGCATGGTAATTTACAAAAAATAAAAAATAGGGCCGTGCAGGTTGGGTGCCAGGACTCTAGCTTGTGGCTGCCAAAAGACTGCTGTAGACTCCATTGAATTTCCCATGAAAGGCTGGCTGCACCATATATTACAGCCTTTCTGAAGCTTTTGACCGTGAGGCTGGGTTCACACCTAGGCGTATTGGATATGCCCGTCTGTCGCGCTGGTTTTTTACCGTGCAACAAACACGTGGTTCCGAGGGCTACTTGGCAGTATCCCAATGGAAACGCCCAACAAAAACGGCCCAAAGAAGTACATGTACTTGTTTGGGCGTAGGCCGTTTTGTAGGGCGTTCAGACGGGCGTAAATACAGAAAGGTGTGAACCATTCCCATAGAAAACAATGGGATTTTCATGTTTGTACGTTTTGTAGAGCGTTCATAGAGCGTTGAACGCGCGACAAAACGTAAAGGTGTGAACAGGGCCTTAAGGAACCCATGAAATAACTTTCAGTTCTTAATGATTGTATGTACAGCTCATGGTGCATTAATATAATCAGGACAGACATACTTTGGTGTAACAACAAATTACATTGGTAGTGAGTGCAGAAAGTGTCCCTTATCTTGAAGGTAAGTGGGCATAATCTATTCCTTAGTTCCTCATTCACACCTGGGTGTTTTCTCACTCAAAGGTAAGCATGACAAAACACTCAAGACAAGGAATCCCATTCAGTGCTATGGCCCATGTTCACACTTGAGCGTTTTGTCACAAGCAGAAAAAATGCTAGTCACTGGAAAGAGTACATGAGCTACTTTCTGGCAGATTACATTGCTTTTTGGTCCTATAGACTCCAATGGGAAACTTGGTGTGGCAAAATGCTCAGGTGTGAAGAGGGGCCATAGAAATGAATAGGATTCCTTGTCTTGAGCGTTTTGTCACGCTTCGCTTTGAGCGGGAAAATGCTTAGGTGTGAACGGAACCGTAGTGACATCTAAACCGTTATTGTTAGTGGTGACTTATCTGAGAGAAGAGAAGAGGCTCCATTGGTGTCATGGAGTTCTGCCAAGTGACATCGATCAATCCACCATTGCTGAAGGATCCCCTAGCACCCTCTTGTTGACTGGCTGTTCTTATGGTAGACACACATGTATAGATAAGCAAATTGGTGACCCCCCTGACCAATTTAGAAAGTAGTTGATGAGTTGAGGATGTGTTGTAATTCAGTTAAACAAATTTTTTTTATTGATTGTTTACTTTTATTATCGAATTTTCCATCAATATTTTCGTTCTATCACAAAACTCAGAATAATGCTGTGTGTGTGTGTGTTGCATTGTTTGATGTTTTAATTAATGATGAATATCTTGTCTATGGTTGCTCATACCAAGGTTGGTCATGAATCGCTACATGTATGTTCACCATAAATCTTGGTGCCTGCTAATTGCTTTCTGCAGTCTGTATATGCTATGGGGGTTATTTCCTGACTGCATGTGCACGTTTGCCCTGAATGATAGTCTTAAATTGCAAGCTGTGCATTTGCAATCTGCTGAGCCTATGCTCTGCCTGGGGGCTCAGGGCACTTTGGGGAAGCCAAGGCTGCTTTATATGTGTTTGCACTATGTGGCATACAATGCTGTTCATTTCACATAGCGGTGTACATGTAGATAGTTGACTTTGTGCCATATTGTGCTTGCTGTTTTATATACCCAGGCATCTGTACTGGGGTTCAAGAACTGCTCGGCTTTTCGCTGCAGTAGTAGCAACCTATGCTATTGCTTGGCATTTATTCTTTGGCTAGCCCCTGTTTTTGCTCCGTACGTAGTCATTTATAGTATATTGAGGTGTTTATAGTGCTCTGAGTGAAGGCGCATTTGCACAACAGGGGCAAGCCGGGCTGCAAATTTGTTCTTTTGACCTGAGACCTCCATAATTCTGCAGTTTAATGGTAATTCCACTAGTGAAGTCCATGCAGCTTGATTGCTCCCAGTCGGGGCATCTACTATGTTCAAAATCTGTTCATGTCTACTGCTAAAACAGTTGCTTTAGCCTTTTCTTTGGGGGTAGCCCTTTTTCTTTTAAGGAGATCACTAAAACCTAATCTTTATCATGTAGTTTCACAAGTTTTCAGTCATTTTAAATATGCAGTCTTTTCATTTAAAGACATACCAGGTGATCCTGTCATTGCTTGGGCACTTTTGTAATGGATTGACAAATGTCTTCCAGTTGTACTCCTGCATTGTCACCATCTCATGCATCCTTGGATACTATGAGTAGCAGCACCAACATGCGTTGAGCATGCATGGTCCGCTGTTCTCACTATTGGGGAGCCTGTCCAGAGCAATGATGTACAGCTAGACGGGGAGTGGCTACGAGTGGATGGAGGAGAACTGAAAAAAGATGAGGATTTTAGACAATGAAGGCAATTGTTTATAAAACACAGTGCTTTGGAAACCTGGGTAGCATGAGGAACCCCAATTTCAGCATTTAAAGCCAAGTCTGCTGAGTTGGTAATCTGCAAAAAAAGTTCCCTACTATAACACCTGTTCTTTTAAAGGCCTTCTCATAGTACTAAAGCAATAGTGTATTATTTCCCAGTGTCTAAAGCCAAAACAATTGTCACCTGATCAAGTGTTCCATTGAACAAGTTCCAGTGACAATTCAGTGTTGGACTTTAGCTCATTTTCTGTGTCACCAGGACAAAAAGAACATAAATCTCCCCATTGGCAGCAATAAAGTTTTCAGAGGTTCAAATGCTTCCCTACTGTATCTAATACAAAAAAGTTTTTTGTTCAATATGGTAGTGAAAAGGTTAGGTTTGGGAGCACGTTTTATAGACTTTAATATCAGTGAGCTAGACAGTTTTGTACTATTCTATCTAAAGTAAGTTAAGTGCACGGTTCTATTTGTTTCGTTCAGCCTGTGGGCAGAACAAAAAAAATAAAACCGATTCTTCCATCCACACTGAACAGCGTGAATGGACAAATCTGCTGTTTTAGGTATTACGCTGCCACTGTCGAAATACCTGAATGGTGCTTGCAGCTGTTTGGCTGTAAGCACCATTCGCCCGAAGATTTTCCAACATGTTCTTTCGGCAAACGTTGATCTAAGGCAGGGGTGCCCATTAGGTAGATCGTGATCT